AGGCTTCATCTTAACCCTCATGTGACAAAGTGGGCCGACATATGGCCCACAAATTTATTAGCTCTACTCGAAACGAATTAAGTATTGAGATTCATTATTTATTTATTTAATTAATAATTATGATAAAAAAAGTTGTCTCAATATTTTTTATTTAAATAATATTTCTCTAAGAATATTCCACATAGATAGCCATTACCCATCTTTAACGCACATGCTTTGTCTTCATCGTGAAGAAGACTTCCAAAAATGGTGCCCTCATGCTCACCAGTCACCACCTCCAATTAATAGAGGCGGCCCCATGCTCCACCAATATCAAAAAACACTGACCTTGAGGGGAATTCACACCTCAAAAATTACCCAGCTTTTAGGTTTACGTAACCTTCAAGGGGGGAATCATTCGTACCACTATGAGATCCGCCCCCACAAAATTTAATGATGTTCACACTTGATTAAGGAAGAATTGATTAATGTAAAAAAGGAAGAGTTTGATTAGCGGAACTATGGCCTGTAGTTTTGTTGGTGGCCAGTGGGTTGGTCGTGTTAGTGGCAGCTACGATTGGCTCTTATGCCCAAGGACAGAGTCAAAATTTTTGTTTATTTAAGGATAAACTAAACATTCATACGACTAACAAAATATAAATGTAAACTCAAAAACATAGCCCACTAATAACCCAAAAATTTTGTTTTTAATGTTGGCTCAAAAATTTTGTTTTTTAATTGTGGTCCAAAAATTTTGTTTTTAGTGTTGGGCCAAAAATTTTATTTTTTTAATGTTGGGTCAAAAATTTTTGTAATAAGTTTGGCTAGATTTTAATAAGTTTGGGTAGATAATATTGGACTCAATTTTTTTTGTTTTAAATGGGTTAAATTTTTTAATTTTTTTGAATAAATAATGTGGGTCTAATATAAATGAGTGGGACACACATAATATATTATATAAATACTAACAATTATTCGTGCCTAAAAGCACGGTATTACTCGTAAATTAGTTACAAATATTTGCTCATACATAAATGTAAAGTAAAATACAACATTGTAGTAAACGACGAATAAAATGAGTCCGCTAATATTTTTTATAACATCAACTTACATTCATAGCATATATTTTCATATTAAATTGTTATGCCACGAAAATTTTGTTACAACTACTAAAACATAATAATTTAAACATCTGAAACATTATATTAATTGACAATATTTAATGGTCTGTTTTTTATTCAAAATACATGATTTTAATATTTATAATCAACTTTATTTAAATTATAGCAGAATTTATAATTAATAGAATAAAAATTAAAACAATACTCCTACAAATAAACTAAGTCTGCAGATGTTGTCAAATGACCAAATATAACTATCATAAATTCAACTAACTTCCAAAAGATATAACTTGATTATTGAATTTGTGTGATTCGAATTTATAATAGTGTTTTTAATTTGATATCATTCTTTTCGGTTATTTATATTTTTAGCATATTTTTTTAAACTAAACGTTATTTAGTATTGAATTATTTAGTAAAAATTGTTGTTTCGTGTTGTTCACTAAATATTGGATTTGTATGATTCATATTCATAGTATTGCTTATAATTTTGTATCGTTTATCTCGCTTGTAATTTTGTATCATTTTTCTTGGGTATTTAGATTTGGTTTATTTAGTAAATATTGTTGTTTTGTGTTGTTCATTAAATATTAAATTTATATGATTCGTATTTGTATATGAATTTAATATCGTATATTTTAAATGTTAATCATATTTTTTTTAATATATCTCTTGATATCTGAGTTGCCCAATAACTTAAATTTAATCTTGTATATTTTACATGTTAATCATATTTTCTTTGTTAAATTAGAGTTTTTGCAAATTATTTTTTTTTTTGATTATGAAAAAAATAAAATTGACTATTGAATTTGTAAAATTTGAGTTTATAGTAATGCTTTTAATTTTATATCATTATTCTCGATTATTTATATTCTTAATATATTTTCTTAAACTAAATATTATTTAGTATTGGATTAGTTAGTAAAGATTATTATTTGGTGTTGTTCACTAAATATTGAATTTATATGATTTGTGTTCAAAGTATTGTTTATAATTTTGTATCGTTTCTCTTGTTTGTAATTTTGTATAATTTTTATAGGGTATTTAGATTTGAATTATTTAGTAAATATTGTTGTTTTGTGTTGCTCACTAAATATTAAGTTTGTATAATTCGTGTTTGTATATGAATTTAATCTTTTATATATTAAATGTTAAACATATTTTCTTTAATATATCTCTTGATATCTGAGTTGTCAAATAACTTGAATTTAATCTTATATATTTTACATGTTAAGCATATTTTTTTTGTTAAACTAGATTTTTTGCAAGTTATGTTTTTTTTATTGATTATAAAAAAAATAAAATTGACTATTGAATTTGTATGATTCGTATTTGTAATATTGCTTGAATGAAAGAAAGAGATACAAAAAAATATTTTCATGATATATACTATCTATCTAATATTTATTAAATAATTTTTTTTAGATAGAGATACAAAAAAATATTTTCGTAATATACTATCTCTCTCTGTGATATATATTATCTATCTACAGAGAAATGTATTTGTTTGAATCAGACACTATCTAATATTTTCGTGAAATACAGAGAGAGATACAAAGGAAAATATTGTAGAACGAAAGAGAGAGAGATTTGCTTGATTTAAGAAAAAGATTTGAGAGAATTAAATTTTGGAAACTATAACTTTTGAGCAGTAAAAATATTTCAAAAGAGTTAATTTGGTATGTTGGATCAAAACAATCTAAGACGTCAATAGTTCAAGACAGTTTGAAATAATGTAGTCCGTTAGATGATATTTTTTTTTGTCACGAAACGATTTAGACCACTATTTGTCTCCAAAATTTAAATTCGTTCTATATTATTATATAAATATAATACATATACCCTAGTAATAATTTTTTTTTTTTTTATTGTGGTCTTTAGCCCACCGTAGCCCACTAGTGACAACATCCTTGCTCACGCCGCTGGCAGTGGATGGGCTGCGACACAAAGGTAAGAGGGCTGGTGAGGAGAAAGAAAGAACAGAGAGGGAGAGGGAGAGACATATATGCACCTGGACAACCGCGATTGGCTCTGGGGTTGGCTGGGCTGTGACGCCGCTAGCGATGGATGGCCAGCGGCACAAAGAGCAGAGGGAGATGTGGCTGTGACTGTGTCTGGGCAGGCTGCGGCGACAAACAAAGGGATCATTATGGGATGTAGTTTGGAAGAGGGGAGAGAGAGAGAGCATTTTAGAAAGAAGAGGAAGTTAGAGGCGTGTATTCGGGGAAAGTTAGGGGCGTGAACTTCATCCGTCAAAATAAGATTTTGGGGGAACTTGATCCGTTGTCGGATCAACATTTTCTAAACGGATTTGAAAGCTAAAAATAATTTCGTTTGTAAAATTTATCCTCTCTTTTGCTCAGAATTGAATTGAACTATGAAAAAATTGAGATAAATTTGGAATTTCAATTTAGCTCTATTTTATTATATACAAGCAAAGAAAACTAATCAAGATATTTATGTGACTTGATTAACAGGTCAACAATCTATGTTATTGATTATCAATTAGGATTTTTTTTTTTTTTTTTTGAACTTTCGTTAGTATTTTATGTGGAGAAAGTGTATTATCCATTTCTTTGTGCGACATAGTCAATCATAAACTATGATTATTTTTTGTTTAATTGTTTGTCTCATGTTAGAAAAATTACATCTAGGATAGTATTGTTTTTTATTTAAAACTTAACTAGGTTTATCTCTAATTAGGAACAGACAATCCTTTAAAATTGATGGCATTTACAAGTTGGTGGAGAAATTATACCCTTAAAACTTCACAAGGAGGAGAGAATTCTTTTTGAGCATGCAACTTTAGTTTTAATACTCATGCATGCAATGCAGATCTTTCCAAGTTGCTGAATATTTCTAACTTACTTAAATTGTTGGTTAAGACTAAAAAATCAACCATATATCCACTTCTCGATAGTTTGGTAAGACTTGTGTTTACACTTTTAATTTCTACAACCATAACAAAACGTGTTTTCCCAGCTATGCATATCGTTAAAATTAGACTTCACAAAAAGATGAAAGATAATTTTCTCACAGAACTTTTAATTGTGTATATAGAAAATAAGTTGCTAAACAATTTAGTATGGATTCACTTATATATGAATTTCATGATAGAAAAGAATGTCTAGTTCCCCTTTGATAGGTGGCTGAAGGAATATAGTGATGGCCTTTAATTTGATTCCTGACCAATTACAATGTGGAGGGAATGGCTGTATGAACAGTTCAGCTCCCTAGCTTAAAAAGCTAGGGCAATGGCTGTATGAACACCCACTAATTTATGTCACCCGTATTGTTTGACCAAGGGTTGAAATTTGAAAGCCAGAGCCAGAGAAAAGAATGGAATCAATTGCTATAGTAACCAGCAGAGATACTCAACCGTAACAAAATGTCCAGAAGGGTTAGGAGAACAATGTCATTCTTTACTAGCATTCTTGCCAAGCATGACTTAACAAGAAAATATGCAGAAAGAAAATTATTATACAAAAAAAATAAAATGCAGCCAAATACATTAGACATACCTATTATATCCACCTGAGAACGTGTGTATTAGAAATTGGTCATCTCCCTGGCCATTACTTTGGAGGAGAGGTAAGCTTATTCTCCTCCGAATCATGCTTTAGTGTAGCATCCCCACCCATCAATTCCTGAAAGCCTTCAACCTTCACTGGTGGAGCCCTAGCCATACCCATGTTCCTGTATGCAGACAAAAAATGTCTAAGAACTCTCATGATTGACTTATTAATCCCGACTTCTCGTTTAAATCCATTGCACAAATAGTTTTCCTTACGGTGTTTGAGGAATCTGAAGGGGACTCATTGGCCTAAACTGATTGCCTGATTGAGCCTGGAGAGATGACATTGCAGCAAGTTGCTGCTGCCGATACTGTTGCAATTGGGTTTGAGGATGTGTGGTGTTGATTGTGCTGAAGGTATTGTTGTCCATAGGAAAATCAGATGGGTTTTCGATCTTGACTTGCACCATGGGTCTTTCCTTATCCATATTCATATTCACACCAGGACGAGGTGTCGAAGGTTGGCGCCTTCGCAGTCTTTCCCAGTGCTGCGGTTGCTGAAAAGCCAGATTCTGGGGATGAACCATCTGCTGCAACTGTGGATGCATTTGTCTTGGAATCTGTATAGTCACCAGAAGAAATAATCATTAACATCCTAAATCCTAATATCCGAGGGCTAACATGGAAAACTAACAGATCTGAAAGGCCTCAAAGAAATCCAGATCTATTCACAGGGAGGTTCACACACATACATATCTTGTTGTCCTCTCTTGGAGGGGCAGGGTTCACAAAAGGTAAAACAATTTCAGCATGACATTCAAGCCGGGAGGTACACTTCAACATGACTCCTAACCATTGGCTAAGGTATGATGTTTCCCAAACATCTCCACAAAAAATTCAAGAGTAAGAAAGCTCACCTTTAGAGTTTAGAAGTAAAGTATAGCTAATTGAAAGGTAAGAGAAGTATGGATGGACATACCTGCTGTGGTTGCCGAATGGAGGTTTGATGCTGTGATTGCAATTGTAACTGGTTTCCTTGCGCTTGCAGCTGAGATTGTTGTACAGAATTCCTGGTATTGTCTTTCACAAGCTCAGCCAAAGGCCCAAGATTGCTAGTGATAAAAAGGGCAAAATGGGTTAAATAATTGAAGCAGTGCAAAGGAAACAATACAGTGATATTTACTACTGTCGATGATTGTAAAAACAAAAAGATAACAGTTTTGTTTAGCAATAAACTGTAAGAACTAAAGAAAAGAACAAGAGTTATATTGAAGACAATATGGAGAGATTGAAAATCGGAAGGCATACAACTAATCAATCGAAGGCTCCTGCCCCTCTTTCCCCATCCTTTCTTCTTCTCTTTTCCATAAAACAACATGAAAAAGAGGATAGTTCCTTCAGTTACACTTGTACAAACCAGTAGGTTTTCATGATTATGGTACCAACACTATAACCATTGGCATCTACACATGGTTTACATTGCATTTTTGGCACTTATGGTAAAGAAAAATATATTGCCTTCAGTTGTGTCAAAAACAGAGTAAGGAGAAAGCTTAAGAGGCAACACAAAAAACTTAACAACAGAGGATTAATAAGCTGGAAAAGAAGTGGCAAAGAGTACGCTGAGCACTAATATTTTATTTGTTAATGCGGTAGATGAAACCATGATAAATGTGATGAGAATTGTTAGACACCATTCTACACGTAAAATAACAACTTTCTAGTGTCCATGGGGCGTTCTAAACTTCATAAACAAGTATTACCACCTCTGTGATATTATATATCACACTGACCAGTGAATCAGTTGTTTGGTTAACACAGAAATTTTTATCTTGTATGGCTAAAATCTCTCCGTTGGATGGTTGAATATCATTAGAGTGACTCTTAATTAGAGATTGCTTCCCTGATTGGATCCCTGAAAGACCCTTCTAAAGTGGTTTATGCCCTTAAATTCCTCTTCCAATGCTCTGCAGGATGTCACTGACTTTATTTTCAACAAACTCCTTCCTTCCATGACCATAACATTGAGGAATAAACATTGTAGCCAAAACCTAATAGATTTCGTATAATACCTGGATGGTCAAAGGGATGGAGAATAAAGTCAACCACTTATTTGTGCATACTCCTATTGCATTAACATTGTGGAATAAGTTGTTTGATTTGGCTGGGCTTGATATGGCATCTATATTTATTGTGGACATTAAGGGCTTGGGAGGAGATCGAAGAGGAACTATTCTTTACGATGGTGCATTTCTAACTATTGTTTTGGTTATTTTTGGAACCTTCTAAGTATAATTTTCAAATTACCTTCAGGATTCTCAATGTCAAGTGCCAACAACAACGCAGGATCTTAAAGATGAAGCAAGAAATTTATGATCATAAGAGATTTGGTCAAATATGTTTTGACTTATGTACAGTAATTAAAAGAAAGTGATCTAGAAAGTTGGACAATAATAAAAATAGTATACACCAACTCCTGGAATTGTTCAGCAGCACCAACAGGGATTTATCCACCTTCCTTGGCCGCCTAAATGTTTACATGCTTTTTAAAATTCAAGAATGACAAAAATTCAAATGTTCTTGTCCCACAAAGATGAAGAAAGCAAGAAGCATGTGTGTGTACGTGACTACATGTATGTCCATGCATACACATGTGTTTTGTCTCTTGTGTCTCTGATATGGGGGGTCTGTCAGTAATAGATATGCGAACTAGTATGTGGCAGTAATGAGTGAAAGTCAAAACATGCTTGCCTAATGAAGAAATCGAGATTTGCCAAAAATAGATGTACACAACAACAATTTGTCATAAATCTATTAGGGATACAAAAATGTATAATTTTGTCATTTAACATCTTATATTATATTAAGATATTTGAATTTAGAGGGACAATAAATAAATAAAACAGAAAAAAATATATATATTTCCTACATTTATTGTAAGAAGAGTTGCCCTCACCTATGACCTGCTGTTTTAAGGAACATTTTAAGTAGTTCAACGGCTGAGCACTGTTTCCTGTAACTATCAGCAAGGAGTTTCAAGATACGGCCTAATTTGCAGACATGACAGCTCAAAAGCTGAGACAAGACTTCCATTGGTAGTTCTGAAGCAGATTCAAACCCCACACTTGTTAGCAGATGAGCAATCACCTTCTGAGACATCTGTGATGCTTGCTCCTTAGTACAAAGTTTCTTGTTCCCTTCTGATCCATTTTTTGCACGACCTTGATTTCCTCCCTGTTCCATGCTAAGGTATTCTGGTCTAATTCCAAGCCTCTCAATCATAATAGGGCTCCTAGTCATAATCTGAGGTAAGTTATCTAGAACTCCATTGAACTCCACTTTCTGGTTGTTTTTAACTCGATTCATTGGAGAGAGTGCACTCTCAGGAACACAATTCAGTGTAAACATTGTTTCGGGGAAAAATGACATCTCGTCATCAATTGCATCGCTGTCATCTACCACTGGGTTTGATCGCATGTTTGATCCATTTTCCATAATGGAATTGCCAAAACCCAGGTTTTGTTCTTCCTTAAATACTATACGCCTTCTCTTAAGCCTCTCAGTAACTCTTAGATAAGTGGACATCTGTTCAGGTGTACGTTTGTCCATTTCTCGATCACCAAAGGATAACCTATAGGGTTTGCTAGCTTTGTACTTCTCAAAAAACTGACTATACCATGTTTCAGGCAATTCTTGAAGCTTGAATCTCTGGGACTTGCTATCAATTTCTGATTCCACATATCTAGACCCAGCACCAAAAGCTGCTTTAGATTGAATCTGTTGAACCCATCAGCAAAGTCAATCAACCACAACAAAAATGTGAAACTAGCAAGATAAGAATGGAGAAGAAAGGAGAATTCCATGCATGTGAAGAATGACAAGAAGAGGAAACAGAAGGATTAAAAAAAAAAACACTGTAGAATAGATAACGAACTTTGAAATGAAAAGAACAAAGGGAAAGAAATATGGGTTAAAACTCAAGCGGATAGTAATCCAGAAGGTCCACTCCTGAAAGAATCCAATTAAAAAAAAAAATTCCCTACAGAATTATAAAAGAACAGAACAAACTGTGAGAGAATGCACGAAGGGACTTGTTAACAGCCCTCCTTAAATTAATCACATCATAATGCATTACACCCACAAAACCAATAAAATTCGGAACAAGAAACAAATGCATAAAACATGGAAAATTTGGAATAATCACAATTTTCTTTAAAAATTAAATTAGCATTCAAGTAGGCCAAAACATCTTAAGGCAGTCTGACGAGGACGTGGAGCTAATCGCAGTCTCGAATTTTCTTCATCTAAACAGATTATGGTCTTTCAACTTTTCCCATTTTCCAAGCAAAAGGCCTAGCTATCAAGTGCAAAAAAAATGCAGCCATAAACTTTTATGTACTTTTTATTGGCACAGAAAAACCTATGCAATGTCCCCAAATTTAAATCACAAACAGCAGCTTCAACAACTGAATTATCATTGACTATAATTATTCACCTTAGACGTTGACGTATTAGTAGCGCCAATACCATCGCGTTGCTGAGGTTGAAACCCATCTTGCGATGAGTTCTCCAATGTGAAGTACACATCATCTCCATGCAACTGTAAATCTGCAAACAAAAAAACAATTAAAAAAGATTCAACCCAACCCAATTCAACTCAGCCTAGTTCCAATTGTTTTGGAGTTGGCTTCATGAATCTCACTCCATAAATTGCCATCTATCAGTGATCGGTCATATTTCTGTTAGATTGCAAATTATCACATTCTTTTGTACTATTTCACTCAAAGTAAATTACAAAAAAAAAAAAAATCAATAATGATTTCAATTTCGGAGACTGAAATTTATACATACAGTTTGGATTGAGCTTCGAAACTACAGCGGAACAAGGAATTGAAGAGGACGGGGATGAAGAACACCTATTGGATCGGAGGAAGAGCGAAACGGAGGCTTTATCGAAGATCAGAGCCCGAACTCGTAGTTGGAGTTGGATCTGAGCCCTAGTTTTGGATTCATCGGTTCTCATGAAGGAGTCCCATGAGGTTGGTGAGGCGAGAAAGTGAAGGAAGTTAGCGTAGAGTGAGTCGCCGAGCCATGAACGCCACACGTCATGGCTTTCGAGCTTCCTCGCGAGCTCGTAGCCTCTTCCGTCGTCGCCCAGTAAGTCCATTGTGGTCGGAGTTTTCTGTTGCAGATGAGCGAGACTGAAGTGGACTTAGAAAATTAAGGGTCCGAAAATGAGTGGGCGGATCAATGGGTCATTGTTTCCGAGTATGTATGGAGTCATGGACCATGTTACATTGTGCTTCAAGACATTCGAAAGTTGTCCCCAAAGTTTTACATATATAACAAGAGTACCTATGTTCCATTTTTCCTTTTACATCTGAAAACCAATATATAGAAATATAAGAAGAATAATACTTTATATAGTTTTAAAAGATAAATATATAGTATACAAGTTCATTTAAATCATCTCTCATCAAAATTCAATCAATTTAATTCTTCTCAAAAAACTTGTATTCAGAATCATTTTGTGTATAGGTGATATAACTAAATTCATGTCGCATATAATTGAATTGACGTCGATTCATTTGTCTTTAAGTCAAAATGGTGAATATAATTATGACTTGATGTCATTAAGACTAAACTGTTAGAGAAATCACAGGCTGATTATTTGGGATTTCTCTTTACTTGGTTAATTCTGTTTATAAAAAATATTGTATAGCCCTCCTTGAGTTTAGACACTGATTCCTTGTAATTACTACTTTGTTCTATGTCTGTCATTATTTCCTTTGTAATCATAGTCAACTTATCCTGTATAAATATGACACAAAGTAATGGAAACAATTGAGCTTTTCCAAAAACCTTTTCATTGTGTAAATCTTTATATGGTATCAGAGCTATCAAATACTCAAACGAGTTTCTCAATGGCTAATTCTAGCTCCTCTACTCTCACCCCATCTGAGAGCAACCCTGTTATCAGTTCTCTTCCACCACCCTTCGATTCTAATACCATTCTGATCTCCATTAATACAGCAGCCCAGGCACCCTTGAAACTCACCCCTAATAACTTCTTGTCTTGGCATGCTCAATGGAATGCACTCCTGATAGGTTACAACCTCAAAGGGTATCTCGATGGTTCTTTCCCCTGTCCCTCGGCAATGGTTACTGAAACGGCAAAGAGAGGTTGAACCCTACCTATGTCACATGGGTTCGTCAAGATCAATTGCTTCTCAGCGCTATTCGTGCCTCTCTTTCCGACAAACTTCATCTGTTTGCAGCCTCGGCTAAGACGTCTTAGGAAGTGTGGTCTCGTCTCTCTACCACCTATGCCAAGCCTTCACGCTCGAGAATCCTACGAATAAAGGATAATCTCAACTCTCCTCAAGTTGGTCGTAGCATTACTGATTACATGCACCATGTAAAAAGTGCCGCTGATGAGTTATCTATGATTCGCACTGTTCCGGTTGAAGAAGAAGACCTGCTCTTTGCCATATTCAATGGCTTAGATCCTGAGTTCAAAGACATTTCAGCAGCAGTTCGCGCTCGTGACAGTGATATTTCCTTTGAAGAGCTTCATGAGAAACTGTCTGAACATGAAGCTTTTCTCAAACGATGCTCCCAACGTTCCGATGATGCTTCAATTACAGTTAATGTTTGCTAGCAAGGCGGGATCTCAGTCACGAAACAACAATAAATCTGGCAGGTTTAACAACTCTGGAAATTCCAACAAACAGGGTCATTGTCAAAAGAAAAATCAGAATTCCAACGGCTCCAACAATCAGAATTCTCCGAAAATTGTTTGCCAATGGTGTGAGCAACAGGGTCATGTCGCTCGCACGTGCTAGTATCTCCGACCTCCTGGCTATGGTGGCTTTGGCTCCAATCCACGTGCTTATTTTGCTGGTCAACCTAGTGCATCTTCTGTCAACTGGTTGGTCGACTCCGGTGCATCTCACCATGTCACCGCGGACTTGAATAATCTCTCCCTCCATTCGGGTTATGAGGGTCTTGATGACATGGTCATAGGCGATGGTAAAAGGCTTCCTATCACCCATACCGGTTCCACAAATCTACCCTTATCTTCAAAACATTTCTTATTGAATGATGTGCTTTGTGTTCCTAGCATGAAAAAGAATCTCATTTCTGTTTCCAAATTTTGTCATTCTAATAATGCATCTATTGAGTTCTTACCATCTTCTTTTGTTGTGAAAGATCTTCACACGGGGGCACCTCTAGTGCAAGGGCGGAACAGAGATGGAATTTATGAGTGGCCATCGCATGCACCTCCTCAATCCTTCTCGTCATCCACTTCATTGTCGCCCATTCTCTCCTTCGCCAATGTCAAGACCACTCTCCAAGATTGGCATAATCGCCTTAGCCACCCCTCTTTGAAAGTCTTAAAACATATTGTCTCTTCAAATGTTTTACCCATCTCTTCTAGTCAAGAATTTCTTTGTAATTCCTGCAAGTGTAATAAAGCTCACAAACTTTCATTTCACTTATCTACACTGCAAAGTAATTCTCCCCTTGAATTGATTTATTCTGATGTTTGGGGACCTTCCCCCGTTCAATCCATTGATGGTTTTCGTTACTACATTATATTTGTTGACCATTTCACCAAATACATATGGTTATATCCCTTTAAAAAAAAATCTAATGTCCCAAATGTCTTCATTAAATTTAAATTGGTGGTTGAAAAATTCTTTAATCGCCCAATCATCTCCATTTATTCCAATGGTGGCAGTGAGTTTCACAAACTCAAACCTTTCTTTGTGTCTAATGATGTTACTCATCTCCTTACTCCACCCCACACTCCAGAATATAATGGTTCCGTTGAAAGACGACATCGTCATGTTGTTGAGACTGGACTAACGTTACTCAGTCAAGCCTCTCTTCCTTTGTGTTTTTGGTCATATGCATGTCCTACTGCAGTCTATTTAATAAATAGAATGCCCACTCCAATTCTTTCCTTTCAATCACCTTTTCACTAACTCCATGGAAATCTTCCCAATTACTCCAAACTATGCACCTTTGGTTGCCTTTGTTACCCTTTGCTTAAGCCTTACAATAAGCATAAGTTGGAACCAAAGTTCAAACCTTGTGTTTTCTTAGGTTATCTTCCGACACAAAGTGCCTTTCGCTGCCATGAACCTCACTCTTCCCAAATCTATGTTTCTCGGCATGTTACCTTCATCGAAAATGTCTTTCCTTATGCGTCTCTTGAGCAAAATCTTCAACGGCTGAATCTTAATGATTTGTCTCATTGGTTGCTACCAAATTCCAGTAACTCTCCTTATTTTGTGGTCCCCAACAATACTTCCTTTTCTGTTCCCCAAAATCAGCCACCTACTAATTTGGTTGTCACCGAAAATCTGGACGGTCAATCCCCTCCTTCCGTAACTCATTTTGGAAAATCTTTTTCTTTGCCTTTCTCTCAAACTCGTCCAGCTTTAATCTCTCCTACTTCCACTGATTGTGCATCTCTCTCCATGCCTGGCAATGACCACTCCTCACCATCCTCTTCGACCTTAGCAGGTGCACCCGAGCGTGATCTCTTTGACGCGTTTGAAGAAGCAAGTACTGAAGATGATGCCAGGCTTCTTGACCCTCCTCCATGAGTTACTACCCGATCTCAAAATAATATTTTTAAACCCAAGAAATTACTTTCTCTGGTTTCCCATCTTCCCTCACCTGAAATACCCGAACTTACTGCTCTATCACAAGTCTTAAAAATTCCAGAATGGCGTCAGGCCATGTCAGAGGAATTTGACGCTCTTCTTCACAATTGGACATGGGAGCTTGTCCCCTCTACCAATGGTCAAAACCTAGTAGGATGCAAATGGGTTTTCCGAGTAAAACACCACCTTGATGGTTCGGTAGCCCGATATAAGGCCCGCCTTGTCACTAAGGGTTTTCGCCAACGGTCGGGTCTCGACTACAACGACACCTTCAGTCCGGTAGTCAAACTGATTACAGTCAGAATTGTTCTCTCCCTTGCCATCTCTAAGGGTTGGCCTCTTCGATAAATGGACATCAATAATGCATTCCTTCATGGTAATTTATCTAAAGAAGTATTTATGTCCCAACCCCCTGGCTTTGTTGATCAAACCTATCCTTCTCATGTGTGCAAACTTTGTAAAACCCTCTACGGTCTCAAGCAAGCCCCTCGGGCATGGTACACTGAGTTAAAAGGGTTCTTACTCTCCTTTGGTTTTGTTAACTCCAAATCCGATGCCTCCTTGTTCATCTACTCTCATGGACAAACTGTTCTCTACCTGCTTGTGTACGTCGATGACTTGATTCTTACCGACAACAACACTACCGTTGTCACTGATTTTGTAAGTCAATTGGGGTCTCATTTTTCAGTCAAGGATCTCGGCACCCCGAATTACTTCCTCGGTGTTGAGGTAATTTCCACTTCCACTGGATTATTTTTATCTCAACAGAAATATATTTGGGATATCTTAGATCGGACAGGAATGTTAGGCGCTAAGGATGTTCACTCTCCACTCTCTACTAGTACCTCTCTCTCACTACATGATGGTTCCAATCTCTCCGATGTTACTGGCTACCGCTGAGCTATTAGGAGCTTGCAATATCTCTCCCTCACCCGTCCCGATATTGCTTTTGCCGTTAATCGACTCTCCCAATTCATGCATAAGCCTACGGAGACACATTGGGCAGCTACAAAGAAGCTTCTTCGCTACCTGAAATCCACCATTGATTACAGTTTGCATCTCCATAAGAAGTCTCCTCTTCATCTTCATGCCTTCTCCGATGCGGACTAGGCCGAAAACAAAGACGACCGCACCTCTACTAGTGCCTATGTTGTCTATCTCGGCTGCAATCCCATCTCCTGGAGCACCAAGAAGCAACGGTCCGTTGCTCGATCTTCTACTGAAGCCGAATACAGGTTTGTTGCCTCTACTGTTGCAGAGCTCTCCTGGATTCGTTCTCTCCTCTCCTTCTTCCTACTCAAACTCCGGTAATCTACTGTGATAATATTGGAGCAACCTATCTATGTGCAAACCCAGTGTTTCACTCTCGAATGAAACACATTGCCATAGATGTTCATTTTGTTCGTGACAGGGTTGCAAATGGCGAACTAAATATATCCCATGTTTCCACCAAAGACCAACTAGCAGATGCTCTAACGAAACCACTCTCTCAACAGCGACTTGAGTTTCTTCGTCCCAAACTTGGTGTTGCTCAACGGTCCACCAATTTGCGGGGGCATGTTAGAGAAATCACAGGCTGATTATTTGGGATTTCTCT